ATCTGGGAATGACCATCTGGGACCAGTGACCATCCGTGATGTTCTGGGAATGACCATCCGGGACCAGTGACCATCTGGGAATGACCAGTGATGTCCAGGAATGACCAGCGATAGTCCAGGAATGACCATCTGGGACCAGTGACCATCTGGGAATGACCATCCGGGACTGGTGACCATCTGAAAACTACCAGTGATGGTCTGGGAATGACCAGTGATGGACCAGGAATGACCATCTGGGACCAGTGACCATCCAGGAATGACCAGTGATGGTCCAGGAATGACCATCTGGGACCAGTGACCATCCAGGAATGACCGATGACCATCCAGGAATGACCAGTGATGGTCTGGGAATGACCATCCAGGACCAGTGACGATCCAGGAATGACCACTGACCATCCAGGAATGACCGCTGACCATCCAGGCGTGGCTCAGAACCGATGGATTCGGCCTCTCAAACCCTTCTGGATTCCCAAATCCACCCCAAACCCGTTGTGTGGGACCCCATGAGGCCTCTCCCTTCCGAAACCACCAAAACCTCCCCAAACTGTGCCGAACAAACCCCAAAACCCCGCCCCAAGTACAACCACCCCATAAAAACTCCCGTGGCGACGCCAGGACGGAAACGGGACCGGACCCCACCGAAAACCCCAAAACCCCAAAATACCGAGTACAACCACCCCATAAAAACCCCCATGGCGACGCCAGGACGGAAACGGGACCGGACCGCACCGAAAACCCCAAAACCCCAAAATCCCGAGTACAACCACCCCACAAAACCCCCTGTGGCGACACCAGGAAGGAAACGGGACCGGACCCCACCGAAAACCCCAAAACCCCCGCGCGGTTCCCGGTCACAGGTGGGTGAGCTTGGGCGCCTCTTGGATTCTGCCCTGAGAAGATCCGTGGTGCGACGACGACAGCTCCGCGTACGTGGGGTGGCCCTCGCACGGTCCGTGGGGCTGCCCGGTGGCCACCGCGCCGTAGTCCATGCCGGCCGCCGGCTGCTGGCCCAGGTGGCCCAGGCCGTAAAGAGCCGGGCCCGAGGCGCCCATGGGCTCCCCAAAATTCCCTCCGACGTAGACGGGGCTGCCCTGCACGCCGCCGCTGGTCCCGTAGCCCACCCCGTTGCCCTGCAGCACGTGCGGCTCGTACTCGCCCGAGTATTTCTGCTGAGCCGGGCAACCTTTAGCCGGGGCCGGGTAGCCCGCGGCGGGCACGGCGTAGGCGTTAGGCTGAGCTTTCCCAAAAGCCGGCGGCGACGGCGCCTCGTAGGGAGCACCCAACGGGTGAAGAGCGTTGAGAAAACCCGCCGAGGTCTGCATGGGCTGCGGGGGGCTCCCGGCCGGGGAGGGACCCCCCGACGAGGAACCCCCGACACCTTTGGATTTCTGATCCTTCTTGAACTTCATGCGGCGGTTCTGGAACCAGATCTTGATCTGGCGCTCGCTGAGGTTCAGCAGGTTGGCCATCTCCACGCGCCGCGGCCGGCACAGGTAGCGGTTGAAGTGGAATTCCTTCTCCAGCTCCACCAGCTGAGCGCTGGTGTAGGCGGTGCGAGCTCTCTTGGACGCCGAAGAGCCCGGAGGGCTTTTTTCACCTCCTCCTCCTCCTCCTCCTCCTCCWCCGCCRCCRCCGCAGGATTCTGCCAGAGCACCCGAAAATGAAATGAGAGGGAATTACTTAACGCGCAGAAATTGAAAGCGTCGGTTGTTAATAAATCCTCCAGGCGGGAACCCCCCCCGTTGCCCGTCCGCATTATCCCGCGCTCCATAATCGTGTCATTTATTAAGAGTTCTGTTCTCCGAAGCTGCCCCCTGCTTTATGAAAATTTGATCATGTCATGTAGGGAACAATTCCGGGGCTGTTTATGGACGAGGCGATTATTTTTCCGGCGGATAATTTTCGGGGAAATGACGTTTGGCAGCGGGGCCGGGGGATGCGAGCGGGGTTGGTTCGGACACCAAAATTTCCCTCCTCAGCCACCCTTTTGAGGCTAAAACGGGAAAAATTCCATTCCTGGAGTTCACGGGAGGGAATCGCTCTGATTTGGGATATTTTCAAATGGAATTTTCGGGGTTTGGTTGGTTGGGCTGGTGGGATGTGGGCAGGAAGATGGAGGTGGTGGCGGAGATGGATCTGCCCTTGGTGAACAGAAAAGTGGAACGGGATAAATGCAAATTTTAGTGGTGGAGATGGATCTGCCCTCGGTGAATGGAAAGAGGGGATGGGATAAAACCAAATTTTAGTGGTGGAGATGGATCCGCCCTCGGTGAACGGAAAGGTGGGGTGGGATAAAACCAAATTTTAGTGGTGGAGATGGATCCGCCCTCGGAGAACGGAAAGGTGGGGTGGGATAAAACCAAATTTTAGTGGTGGAGATGGATCTGCCCTCGTTGAATAGAAAGGTGGGATGGGATAAAACCAAATTTTATCAATTTTTTTTGGTGGAGCTGTTGGGAGAGCGTTTTCCCACGTTTGTGTCCACCCGGCCGGACTTTGTCCGGGTCCGATGCCCTGATTGGATTTACCCGCGGCTGTGTCTGAACCAAACCAGCCATGGCCATGGTGTGGGCAGTGCCCAGTGCTGTGTCCGAACCAAATTGAGTCCACTCAGCCATGGCCGCAGGGTGGACAATGCCCAAAGTGAATTTTAGCAGTGGCCGGAGCTGTTGGGAGCGTGTTTTCCCACGTTTGTGTCCACCCGGCCGGACCTCAGCCGAGTCCGATGCCCTGGTTGGATTCACTCACGGTTGTGTCCGAACCAAAACAGCCATGGCCACAGGGTGGACAATGCCCAAAGTGAATTTTAGCAGTGGCCGGAGCTGTTGGGAGCGTGTTTTCCAACGTTTGTGTCCACCTGTCCGGACTTTGTCCGGGTCTGATGCCCTGGCTGGATTTACCCGCGGCTGTGTCTGAACCAAAACAGCCACGGCCATGGGGTGGGCAGTGCCCAGTGCTGGGTCCGAACCAAACCAACTGTGCTCAGCCAGGGTGGACAGTGCCCAGTTCTTTGTCCGAGCCAAACTGAGTCCACTCAGCCATGGTGGGCAGTGCCCAGAGCTGTGGTCAAACCAAACCAGCCATGGCCGTGGTGTGGGCAGTGCCGAATGCTGTGTCCAAACCAAATTGAGTCCACTCAGACAAGGTGGGCAGTGCCCAGCGTTATGTCTGAGCCAAAGTCCACTCAGCCAGGCCAGGGGGGTGGGCAGTGCCCTGAGCTGTGCTCAAACCAAAGCAGCCATGGCCGTGGTGTGGGCAGTGCCCAGAGCTGTGTCCAAGCCAGAGTCCACTCAGCCAGGCCAATGGGGTGGGCAGTGCCCAGTGTTAAGTCCAAACTAAACTGAGTCCACCCAGCCATGGTGGGCAGTGCCCAGAGCTGTGCTCAAACCAAACCAGCCATGGACATGGGTTGGGCAGTGCCTACTGCATGTCCGAACCAAACCGAGTGTGCCCAGCCAGGGATGGACATTGCCCAGAGCCGTGTCCAAACCAAACCAGCCATGGCCATGGGGTGGGCAGTGCCCAGTGCTGTGTCCGAACCACACCGAGTCCACTCAGCCATGGCCATGGGGTGGGCAGTGCCCGCTGTTGTGTCTGAACCAAACCGAGTCCACCCAGCCAGGCCAGTGGCGTGGGCAGTGCCCAGTGCTCTGTTTGAGCCAAACCGAGTCCACCCAGCCATGGCCATGGAATGGACAGTGCCCAATGCTGTGCTCAAACAAAACCAAGTCCACCCAGCCAGGCCAGCAGGGTGGGCAGTGCTGTGTCCAAACCAAACCGAGTGTGCCCAGTGGCGTGGGCAGTGCCTAGAGCTGTGCTCAAACCAAACCAGCCATGGCTGTGGTGTGGGCAGTGCCCAGCTCTGTGTCCAAACCACACCAAGTCCACTCACCCAGAGTGGACAGTGCCCAATGCTGGGTCTGAACCAAACCGAGTCCATTCAGCCAGGCCAGGGGGTGGACAGTGCCCAGCGCTGTGTCCAAACCAAACTGACTGTGTCCAGCCAGGGTGGGCAGTGCCCAGCTCTTTGTCTGAGCCAAACTGAGTCCACCCAGGGTGGGCAGTGCCCAATGCTGTGTTTGAGCCAAACCGAGTGTGCCCAGCCAGGCCAGTGGTGTGGGCAGTGCCCAATGCTGGGCTCAAACAAAAACAAGTCCACTCAGCCATGGCCATGGAATGGGCAGTGCCCAGAGCTGTGGTCAAACCAAATTCAGTCCACTCAGCCAGGCCAGTGGAGTGGGCAGTGCCCGCTGTTGTGTCCGAACCCAACTGAGTGTGTCCAGCCAGGGTGGGCAGTGCCCAATGCTCTGTTTGAGCCAAACGGAGTCCACCCAGCCATGGCTGTGGAATGGACAGTGCCCAGCGCTGTGTCCGAACCAAACCGAGTGTGCTCACCCAGAGTGGGCAGTGCCCAGAGCTGTGCCCAAACCAAACCAGCCATGGCCATGGGTTGGGCAGTGCCTACTGCGTGTCCGAACCAAACCAACTGTGCTCACCCAGAGTGGACAGTGCCCAATGCTGGGCTCAAACAAAACCAAGTCCACCCAGCCATGGCCATGGGGTGGGCAGTGCTGTGTCCGAACCAAGCTGAGTGTGCCCAGTGGAGTGGGCAGTGCCCAGAGCTGTGTCCAAACCACACCGAGTCCACCCAGCCATGGCTGCAGAGTGGGCAGTGCCCAATGCTGGGTCCGAACCAAACCGAGTCCACCCAGCCATGGCCATGGAATGGACAGTGCCCAGTGCTGTGTCCGAGCCAGAGTCCACTCGGCCAGGCCAGCGGGGTGGGCAGTGCCCAGCGCTGTGTCCGAACCAAATTGAGTCCACTCAGCCATGACCATGGAATGGGCAGTGCCCGGCGCTGTGTCCAAACCACACCGAGTCCACCCAGCCATGTTGGACAGTTGGGCAGTGCCCACCACCAGAACCCTCTCAGGACCCTCTCACCACCCTCCCCAACCCTTCACTCCAACCCCACCCATCCCCATCCCCATCGATTCCCTTTTTCCCACCACTCCGCCATATTTGTTTTGATTTTTTTGGTTTCTTTTCCCGACAAAACCTCCACCCCCATACCTGCCCCGGGCGAGCCGTTCTTCTGCTTGGAATTCTGCCTCGACTCCTTCATCCAGGGGAAGATCTGCTTAGCCAGGCTGGCGTTGGCGCTAAACCCGGCTTTACCCGCCGCTCCTTTACCAACCCCGCTTTGCCCATTGTTGTTGTCATTGCCATTGGGCGACTCCGCCGTTTCYGTCACCAAACCGGCCCTCATGCAGCTCCCGTTGATTTCTTTAACCTTCCCTTGCGTACCCACGTTGCCCAAAGATTGCAGCGAACACGCCGAGCGCTGAAAATCGCCCTCCACGTGCGCGGAGGGTTGGAARGAACCTTGAGGAGCGTCGTAGAAGCCATTGGCGTAGGAATAACCCCCGAAAAGCGCCGAGCTCTCGTAGTACGGGCTGGTTTTCTGCATCTCCCGCGCGGGTTTTGGGCGCTATCGGGGTCTTGGCACCCTCCTGGCAGAACATTGGCACCCCGAGGCCACCGGGACGGAGGATGGAGGGTGGCGGGTGACCTGAAAGGACGGGAGAGAGGGGACAATGAGAGGGGATCCATCTTGGGGACTGAAAGGGCCGTGACATCAATAGGGACGGCGCCACCAGGACGGCAGATGCTGAGGGAGAGGGTGGGGGGTGGGTTTCGGGGGGTTTGGGGGGCATTTGGGGTGATTTAGAGGTGATTTTAGGGCAATTTTGGGGTGATTTGGGGTGAATTTGGGGCGATTTTGGGGTGA